TGTGTTTGTCACTTACAACAAAAATATTTGATAAAAATAGAAAAGTCTGAGGGTAACATCATTGATAGAAACAAAGAAGTCCAGAAGGAACTAATTTTGGGAGGAAGAAATGATAGTTTTATTTTGGAATGGTTGATTTGAGTAGATATTGCAGTGTGCCTCCACTTACTATTGGAGGCATTTAAAATAGTAGTTATATTAGAACCAGATTGCCTATGCTCCGATCCTGGCTCTGTCAGTTATTAGCTGTGTGACCCTAAGGTAGTCATCTAATCTCTCAATATTTCAGTCCCCTCATCTATAAAACATAGATGATAACAAAGCCTAGGGGAGAAATGGTTGAAGTTGAGAGCAGATAATATGTTTTTAAGAGAGAAAACATAGCACGAGTTAATATACAATGAAAGTAAAGAATCAATAACTATTTTATATCTACATTATGGGATATGGACATAAGTGGAGTCAGTGGAGGAGGAGATGGAGCAGAATCATTCAGAAAATAGGAGGAGAAACAAGAAAGCAAAATATTGAAAAAATCAAGGGAAATGCTATTTTAAGAAAGTAATGCTCAGGAGTTTAGATTGTTGTTAGAAATAAAAAGAGAATAGGAACTAATTAATGGCTTTTTAATTTGAGGAATAGAATGAAATGTTTTTAGCACAGTGAAAGGTAAAAGGATTTAAGTTGAGTAGTGAGGAGATACAAGGGAGTAAACATTACTTGTACACCTATTGTACTTCAACTATGGAACTCTTGCAATGAAAAATACATTTCCCATGTATACTCTTTATTATGTGCTAGACATTACTATATATTGTATGAATTTACACATTACTGAACAGGATTATATAAATAAGATTATGCATGCTACCCTTTGAATAATTGAAAGGGCTTTTTAAAAGTGATTTTGACTATATTTGATTTGCACATTATGGGCTGACTTTAGAACCTAACCCTTACGTAGGAAGTATAGTGTATACCCATATAGCCCATATGGATATAGACTCTTCTCTACTTGGTATAATTTTACATGTATGATGGAAGAGACTAATGAACAAGGTTTTGGCTTGGAGAGAAATCATCTGGTTCTATTTCTTTACTCTCCAACTAGTAACTTTGTGTGGAATCATTTAACTTCCATCCTCAAGCTTTTTCCTTTGTAAATTCTGAAACCTCTCATATCAGTACATAGGAAAAGTGTGATAAAATATTTGAACTCCTGAAAGAAGTTAAGCTTCAATGTACTTTTAGTTATATTATTAAAACAGAACAGTTTAGACTGGTAAACCACTGAAGTCCCTTTTGAAAAGTAATAATGAGGTAGTGAATTCAGTTAACTTAAAAAAAAATTGCGGGGGGGGGGGGGTACCAGGGATTGAACTCAAGAGTACTTGACCACTGAGCCACTATTTTATATTTTATATCCCAGCCCTATTTTATATTTTATTTAGAGATAGGGTCTCACTGAGTTGCTTAGTGCCTTGCTTTTGCTGAGGCTGGCTTTGAACTCGTCATCCTCTGCCTCTGCCTCAGCCTCTGGAGCCACTGGGATTACAGGCGTGCACCCCCGTGCCCAGCTAAAACTATTTTTTTACTGTTTTATAGGATACGTATTAAAAGTTTGGAAACAAGAAGTATAAAAAAGAAAAAAACCTCTAATTCTTTCATTAAGAGATAACTAATATTTTCTTCCTTTGGCATTTCCACTTTTATTTGCCTTAAAATTACATCATTCTTGTCATATCATGTTTGTGTGCTGATTGTATTCAACTATGTTAATATATTTTTTATAGACTTTCTATTTTAGAGTTTTGGGTTCACAGCAAAATTTCACAGAAGGTACAGGGAGTTTCCACAGACCTTTTCCCCCATTGTCAATATTCCACAACATGGAAGTTTATTTGTTATAATTGATGAATTCAGATTGATACATCATTATCTCCCAAAGTTCACAGTACACATTGGGGTTCACTTTGTGTGTTGTGTATTCAGTGGATTTTGATAAATATATACAAATATGTATCAACATAGTATCATACAGAACAATTTCACTGCCATAAAAATTCTCTCAACTCTGCCTGTTTATCTTTCCCTCCCCCAGCCGCACTTTTTACTGTCTATAGTTTTGCCTTTTCTTGAAGGTCAAATGGTTGGGATCAAACAATATTTGGCCTTTTTGGATTATTTTTTTTTCATTTTATAATATGCATGTAAAATTTCTACATGTCTTTTGATCTCTCCCTCTCCCTCCCTCCCTCTCTCTCTCTCTCTCTCTCTCTCTCTCTCTCTCTCTCTCTCTTATAATGTTCCATTGTCTGAATTTATCATAGTTTAGTTATCCATTCACCTACTAAATTACCTAAGTGACATCTTGGTTACATCGATTACATCCATGTTTGGGAGATCAAGAATAAAGATGCTGTAATCATGTTTCCAGGTTTTGATGTAGACATAGTTTTTGACTAATTTGGATAAAGCTTTAATATATTTTTCATTTGATAGTCTTTAAAATATTTTAATAAACTCAGAAAAATTGGAAAAATTATCATTTTTAAAGCTTGAATAATTATTATGCATAAGGAGGTCTTACATTGCTAGAGGGTTTGCAAAAAGTAGGTGTATTTTGTAATTAAAGGGAAAATGTTTTCTTTCTATCATTTTTTCTGGGGCCCAGATTTGAATCATATTGATGAGCAGAGTAGTCCATTACCAATAAACTCAAATGACTTCTCTCTTGATCTTGAAAGAAAGAATGAGGAAGTGATAATGTTAGCTCTGCTGTGTTGATCTAAAAATGATATTATGCAGATACTTATCTGATATATACTGCACTTTTACAAATGACATTAATGAATGTATGAATGTAAAATGACAAACTGTTTTGGAATATGTTCAGCTGTTGGCTGGTGGTGAAAGGTGATTTATCTGATGCCAGCCTTAATTTTTCATTTTTCACATTTTTGCCCTTCTCACTTTTTTGGTAGGATGTAAATAAAATAAAGTAATATATAAATTAGCGGCATGATATGAATTATAAGATCAGAATTTTATCACCTCTAGTGTTTGTAGTACTTGATTATTTTTTTAAAAAATGTTTTTTAGTTGTTAATGGACCTTTATTTTGTTTATTTATATGTGGTGCTGAGAATCAAACTCAGTGCCTTGCACATGCTAGGCAAGCGCTGTGCCACTGAGCCACAATTCTAGCCCCAGTACTTGATTATTTTAAGTGGTTCATTTCTGTGCAACTAAAAATATATTTATATGTAATGTCTCATTATTTTAAATTTAACATTGTATCTGTATGCTAGGCTACCCCATTTCTTTTATCCATGTTTCAAGAGAATCTATAAATGTAATATATAAGAATTTGGGGCAAGGATTATATTTATATATAATTTGGCTCAGTGGTATAGCGTGTGCCTGGCAAGTGTGAGGCACTGGGTTTGATCCTCAGCACCACATAAAAATAAATTTAAAAAAGGTATTATCTCCACCTACAACTAAAAAAATATTTATTAAAAAAAAGAATTTGATGATGGTACAGTTGAAAGTTGATATTTGGAAGAATTTAGTTTTATCCCTGAAATTACCACTTCAAAACAAATTATGTTTGATGAGTCATATAAATACTGTTGATATTTTTCAGCATTGTCTGTACCTCATGTATATTTTTCAGAATCTTTTCCTATTGGTCTTGATTGCCAATAGGAAAGTTTCTTTCTGTCAAAACATTTTTCAAAGTTTTTTACTCATTTTTTTGTGAAAATTGTTTTAATTCTTAAAAAGAACTTAAGAGAAAAATTTAAAATTGCTTAGAGTACTTTTGAATCCCAAATCTACAGACTACAGAAGTTGTGGGTGCCTTCATAAAATTCTAGGTGTCGCCTTTTTTTTTTTTTTATGTAATGCATCTTTAGGAGGTAATATGTAAACTGTGGATATTACTATGTATGAGAAAACTACTATTCTTATTGATTATATTATTGCAGAAATATTTCACTCAAAATATTTTTAAACATAGAAATCTTTTAAAAAACTTAAACATAACTTTATATTGTTGCTTTTTGTCTTTTTAACAGTTTTTTGAAGTAGGGAAATTGGATGTCTTTTACCATTTTATAGATGATAGGTAATTTATTCAAGGTCACATTGAGGTAAATTATAGAACTGAGATTAGAATGGACCTTCTGACTCCATTTAATTTTATCTGTGTTTGGGTAACAGTCTTTTACCATATTTTATCATAATTAGTAATACCATTTTGGTGTATTGCTACCACCAAAAAAAAAAAAATCACAACTCTTTAACATGCCTTCAAACTGACTAGAATATTTGCTTGTGGAGTGATCCCATAGGGTGGAAGTGAATATGTAACTTTTTATTTTTTAAAGGTGACTAGAAATATTGCTTTTATTGTGTAGAATGTCTGAATTGATGGACTCCTCTTTAAATGAAAAATGAAAGTCAATAGTAGTAGCACATTTCCCCCTCCTTTCCCCTTTGTCTAATCCACTAAACTTCTATCCTGCTCCCCCACCTTATTGTGTGTTAGCATCCACATATCAGAAAGAACATTCGACCTTTGATTTGGGGGGATTGGTTTATTTCACTTAGCATGATACATTTATGGCAAAAGTCATAAAGTCATTCTTTTTATGGCTGAGTAATATTCCATTGTGTACTTTTCTTTATCCATTCATCTTTTGAAGGGCACCCGGGTTGGTTCCATAGCTTAGCTATTGTGAATTGAGCTGCTATTAACATTGATGTGACTGTGTATGTAACTATTTTTAATGGAGAAGCATGTATTTAACTATAAATAAACTATATAATGCTAATTCAACTTTAATATTTTAGCCAAAACAATGAAAATAATAGCACTGGATTAATGTAAACAAGAGACGGTAACAAGAAGGCTAAAACACTATGTTTTGTCATATGTCTCTAGAGTCCCCTATTACATCCAGTAAGGGAATCTTCTGTATTTTCTTTTACAGATGCTGAAGATTTCTTCTAAGGAGAAATATCCCTTATTTACTTTTGTAAATGGTCATTCCAGAGACTTTGACATTACGTCTACTACAACCAATGAAGAAGACCTTTTCTTAGAGGATGAGAAGAAAAGATTAAAAAGAGTCAGTACAGAAGAGTTTGTCCTCCTATAAAGAAGAGAATATTTGTGCCCTTTGAAAAGAACACTGAAAGGGGAAGATGAAGAGGAACAAGTACATTTGGAAGTGTTTGTTTTCACAGATATCTTAATTTTATATGTTCTTTAAAAATGAAACATTTGAAAATATATAAAGATATTTTTCTGAAAGAGAAATGATTTAATGAATATTGCTTTCTAATATATATTAAGCAATTCTGGTTGCATTCCTATTTCTGTAAATCTCTAGTGAAACACTACTTTCACTGTAAGCCTTTTCTTCATTCTTGCATCTGAGCCCATTGTTCTCCTGAAAATTTTATGGCATAGACCCCTTCAAAGACTGGATACCCTAGATAGCTTCAAAAAAACTCAGTTTGTATTAACAATCAGAAGACCAGAGAATGAATTTTAGTGCTACCTAAGCCTCCTGCTATTAGTGCAACCAGAGGCTACATTTGGATATATATTAATAATTAGATAGTATTTGCTACCTATGATGTACATATAATTTTAAATAAGCAGAATTCTGAGTTAAGGTAATACCAAGCAATATGATTTTATAATGGTTACTTGTTTGTGCTTGCTTTTTAGTCTTTTATGAGTAGTAAATATAAACAATTGATTTTTCCCATGAATTTAAAGGTTATGTTATTAATAAAACTGCATCCATTCAAATCAGATAAAGGAAATTATAAAATAGCAATAGTGCTTGCTTCCTATCTCAAGAATGAAATTTTATGAGAATTCAACTTAATATGCAGTTTTTAAATCTAAGATAAGTACCATAAATATATCAATAGATCCTCCTCTGGTTTTGCTGTTTATGTACAGCAGTATATTAGTGTTTAGAAGCCAAGGCCATTTTCAAGGTAAATCTGCCTTAAGTGCATTATATGTTACTTAAAGGTAAATTTGTGATATAAAAATCCAAGACTTGTTCTTGAGCCAGGATTATAAACTAAATAATAAAGATGTGAGAACATAAAATGCCTTTGTTTTGGTTTTAATGTTGGGATTGTTTTAATCCTTTCATTTGAAAAATCATTATCTCAAGTGAATTCTATTTATTTATAATGATAGCAAATAATATTGTTGTTCTAAAAGCAAAATATTAACTTATTTTATAGAGATTCTGTTTTTCAATGTGTAAAGGTGACTTATTATAAAGATGTAAAATTTTGCATCATTTAAAGCCATTGATCTATTCTATCAGGAGAGTCTGTTTATTTGGAATTTCATGTAAAGTTGAAACAGGGTGGGCACATTGCTTTCCTATGCCTGAGGGGAGAAATCAGATTTGACATTTCCCAGGGAGAATGGTTTATTGAATTGAAATAAATGGTCTAAAAGCTAAAATTTTTCTTTTCCTTGGATGAAATCTGGACAAATTATGTCCAGTACTAATTTTCCTAGAATGTCAAAGCAGTATGGGAACAGAAGCCAGTGGTGCAGATTTTATATGCTACAGTCCTTTTATCTTAGCTATTTCAATTTACTGTTCCCACACAGCTGCAGTTGTCATAGGGTTCCACAATAAACACATCAAATGAGAGCACTCATACCTTCAAATGGATCAGAACTAATTATAAGTATTCTCTTACAAGAACTGTGCAAAAGCTTAGATTTATAGGGTAGCTTTATTATTTTCCCAGCTTATTTAGGGATCACTTGTAAGTAAAATTTTAGAATGAGACAAATGACCTGGACAAAAATAAGGTGAGAGGAGACAAAAACTTCCTTTATGTTGAATTGTATTGAAAAGGCTGTGTTCAGAATATTGAACAAACAAATCTTACAATATAGTCATCCACATGACTGGAGTAAATGTTTAGAACCAAATTATGAACAATAATATACATATAAAACTATTTAATAATAATAAAAAATATCCAATAATATGTATGAATGAATGAAATTTGAAAGAAGCTGATAAATTTATCTTGCTTACTTGCTAATTTGACTTTATCTGAGAACCAGCAAGAGGTTAGGCTTATCTTTTCTTGGGAAGGCAGCAACTAAACTATCATTAGGTTTAAAATAAAGGTACTATCTATCCTGGTTTCAGACTTTGTTTTAAACACAGATTTCATTTCAAGTTCAAAGAACCAGTAGGTTCAATAAGTAAAGTTTATGGACCATCTCTTTCAGTTGGAATAAAGGAACAACGAAAAGGATAAGATTCTAAGAATTGTGGGGGGATCCTCCATTTGGACATCAATATTAAGATACTGGATTTTACCATTAACATTTCAGAAATGAATTTTTAAGATTCTCAATATGTCTTTTTGATGGTGAAGGCTTCTTTTGTCTCTTCTTCATTAGATTTGATACTTTGAATCCCTTTTTGTCAATGTATTAACCACCAGCGGGCAATGTTGAAAGTCATCATTTGCTGAATGAGTGAATGAGAAGATCCTTTATGGAATAAGTATATCCAAAAAAAATTTCCCTGAGGTATTCATTTTTCTGGTTTTACATTAAACAAACCCCATTAAATATATTTTAGAGAAAACTTTTATAGGATTAAAAATTTAGGTCACTTTTCTGTTCTGTTAACCTTAGGATTTAATATTGTCCAATGACAAATATCTAAAAGTAGATATGTTAATTCCAACTTGGGTTTAGCGGAATTAAAGAAAAAGATCAGCAAAAATTACTTATCTGTACAATCTATGCAATCTTAGGTCTGAACTCTAACACACACTCTCTCTCTCTCTCTCTCTCTCTCTCTCAGAAATCTCTAGTTACCTTCTATTATTCTATGTCAGAGAGCACTTTACTTCTGGTCAAATCACACTAACCAAGCGGATTTCCTAATTTTCTTCTACTGGGGATAAATTTCATTTTCATAGTTGACCAATGGCTTGCATTTGACATCTTAAATATTTTTGACTACATATTCAAGTACAAGTATTTTAAAAAATGAAGTGATTTTCTGAAACAGGAAATGAGAAAGTGTGAAATAATGAAAAAGTATTTATAAATATTAAATCACTATATGAATTGTTATTGAATACATACATTTGTTTATGTACTTATTTCAGGAAGAAACTAGGAATATAAAATACTTGTGAAATAGATTCAAGATATACCAGATGTATGGTAAAGGCAATTTCTTGGAAAGTAAAGGGATTATTATTTTCTACAAAAAGAAGAGTAAATGGTTTCAAAATAAAATTAGGAGAACAGTATTTATCAAGTGATAGTTTTTGTAGTTCAGTGTTGTCAATCAACCACAGTTCAATAGTGCTATTCACTGAGTAGTCTGAGGTACTGAATTGAAAAGGTGAAACATCAGACCACGAAAAATTGGAAACATTCTATCGATTATAAAATATAAATTTTATGTCATTTTATAGTTTGAATCTTAAGTCAGTTTAAAAATCTTAAGCATTTTTGTGTGGCTTTCATGGTTATTTAAAGACTTTCTCCTTGCCTATAAACTTAGTTTTCAGACACATTTTGAGTTAGCATTTCCCTCTCTTTCTTTTTTACAGTCTTCCTTGACATTATTGGTGGCAAGCAATGGCCCAAAACATTCACAACTACAGTTATAAAATTCCACTTACTCTCTCACAATGATAAGAAAAATATGTTAAATGTGGAGAATACGTGTTTATCATTAGGTAGAAAAATTACTTTTTTACTGTGTTACCCTCTAACCAATTTTTCCAGAAATTTAGAAACTCAGTCATCCAAGAGTGAGTCATTAAAAAAAAAAGTATTTTATAGAGAAGTATCTTTTGTTTAAATTATTAACAATAGATGATACATATAACATTTATATTTTATGTTAAGATAATATAAATTAATAAGAATTAATAAATGGGTTTTAAAAGTTGTTGTATAAGCAGGAAAAGTAAACAAACATTAGAAATCCAATAGAAGGAAATCTGAGAACAAAAGGATGAGGGAATTATTGACAGCACATTTTGAGTGTCTAGGCAAATACACCATAGTATGCTAAAACAGATAAAATATATAAATTTAAAAGGCTGGGATGGTTTAAAATTGAGTGTAGGCACAGGAAGGTAGTAAATACTGACTGATAACAGAGAGGGGATCTGCAGCTGCCATGCTACACAACTCCAGGAGGCACTATTGTTAGTATATGTTGTGTGTGTGATACTCCCTGGAGTTGTGCCATGTGGCATTTCTTCTAATATTTATGTACTGCTTTCTTTTTACTCAGCACTGTTCTGATCTGTTTGCTTGTATTAAAATACAGCAAATGAATTAAAGATTGGGAGACTAGAGCTGGGATTAATAGGGCAATTAATATGAGTCATGGGATTTGAATGATCAACAGTGGTTCAGGTCAGGAGAGTCCATTGTCAAAAGTCTAATTACAATAGAGGTTTTTAGGGCTGGGGATGTGGCATAGTGGTAGAGCACTTGCTTAGCATGCATGAGGTGCTGGACTCAATCTCTAGCACTGCAAAAAAAAAAAAAAAGTTTTTAACGGAGGATACACAAGTATATTTAAATTAGTTCCTGGGCTGGGGATACAGCTCAGTCGGTAGAGTGCTTACCTTGCATGTACAAGGCCCTGGGTTCAATCCCCAGCACCACCAAATAAATAAATAAGTTCCTAAATACTTTTAATAGATATCATAGAAAAAATTCTGTTCATACTTTTACTACTTAAACACATTAATTTTTCTACAGTTATTTCTATTTTAGGTTCATGTTCATGTTATTCTTTAAGCATGTTTAATGGGTTGAATTTGGATTCCTATTTAATTTAACCATATTTTATTTGATGAAGAGGGCCAGCCAGCAACTATTCAGTCTTTCATATTTTGCTTTATACATTAACTTTTTTTTGTGGCTCTGGCTTGCATTATACTCTTTCCTATGATGTGTAACTGGTTTCTAGACCTTATTCACTGTTCTTTCTTTGCTGGTTTTATGACTGCCAGCCCAGAGGTATATAAAGAACCTCTTTATTTTTGTATGTAATTTGTTCCTATAAACACTTGAAATAGTACAATATAAGGAAACTGAATGATAGATGTTTTTAAACATTGTTTTCAAGGGAAGGTTTGTCCCAGGGAGTTTAAAATATAAAAATATTAAAAAGTGTTAAATTATTTTAATCATACTGACTTGACAGGATCTTGATACAATTACAGCATCTCATATGTTTTTTTTTTATTTTTGTTCTTTAATAGAACATATAGTTAACTTTAAGTCACCCATGTATTTTTACTGAGGCTAGTGATTTTTTTATGATTGTTTTTATTTGTTAATTAGGTTAAACTTATGACCTACATTTCTTACCACTAGTTTTATCACTTAGGTTTTTCTGTTTTCCCCACATATTTACAAAATAAATACTAATGTCAAATCCAGTAATTGTATAACCTGCTATTTGTGGTGATTTGGGGGTGTTAGATTACTTATGTTATATATCTACACAAGTCCAAGAAAAGCCTTTTCATGATCTCCATCTATGTTACCCAGCTTTACATTACTATAACAAAATACCTGGAACAATCAGCTTAAAAGGAAAAAAGGTTTATCTTGGCTCACTGTTTTGAAGGTTTCAATCCATGATCAGCTGGCCCCATTGCTTTTGGTCCTGTGGCAAGGCAGGAGTACATGGTAGAAGAAGTTGCTCATTTCATAGAAAACAGGAAGAGAGGCCAGAGTCCTAATATTCCCTTCAGGGACTCACCCTTAGTGGCCCAACTTCCTAACACCAAGTCCTACCTCCTAAAGTTTCCTCCACCTTCCGAAAGTGTTATGTGCAGGGGACTAAGCCTTTAACCCCTGGACCTATGGGAGACACTGTCCAAAACATAGCACCACTCTAGTGAGTGTCAAGTGGTAAATCATGGTTTTCTTTTTTAAATAATAGCCTTATAAAGATATAATTAATTTATTAAACAGTTCACTCTTTCTAGTATACAATTCAGAGGTTTTTAATGTAGTCAAAGAGTTGTACAATGATGACCATTATCAAATTCCAGAACATTTTTCAT